AGAAGAGGTCACGGATGCGGAGACAGAGCAGGAATAAAATGGGAGGGTAGATGGAGCCCCCAAGAGGATTTCTATCATGGAGCCACAACAACAACAACACCACCTTGTATTTATATGGTGGCCCTCATGCCGGATTGGAACACTTAACAGTGGTGTCGTTTGATGCCAAGCCGGGGAAAAAGGGGAGGTAACCCTAGGCACGTTAAAAAAGGAGGGTCTTCAGGTGTGATCTTAAGATGGGAAAACTGGAGCAGGGACTGGGGCAGGGAGTTTCCAGAAATTCTGGGCAAAGTGTCTGAAAGCACGGCCACTGTTGGTGGAATAGCCGGGTTGGTGGGATATGCCAAAGGCCCGAGCCAGCTGAGCAAAGGAGTGAAGTATGAGCAGGTTGGAGAGATAAGGAGTTCTAGCACATGAAGTGATTTGTAAGGGACTGTGAGGAACTTGAAATTGATCCAGTCTGTGACAGGGAGCAAGTGGAGCTTGGCAAGGACTGGAATGATGGGGGTGGGGAGTTTGATAAGGGTGAGTTTTGAATGAGTTGGACTTTGTGAATAGTGGAACCGAGGAGACCATATAGAAGGGCATTAGAAAAATCAAGGCGGGAGATGATGAAAGCGTGGATGAGGGTTTCAGCAGTGTGGGGTATGAGGTGTAAACCATGACAATAATGGGAATGCAGGTACTTGATACATGCAAATTGTTTACATATGTAATAATTATCTGAAATCTTTGGTTGCACCCGTAGAATTGTATCTCTGATGGGATAAACCCATCTGAACAAGCAGACGGGACCTCAGTTTAACGTCTCATCAAAGAATTGCACTTGATCATCAGCCTGGACTGTGAGCTCAAAACCCTCTGTGTGGGAATATGTTTTAATACAAGACAATGTTTAACAAAGAGATTTTTTTCCAAAGCAAGAGAAAAGATGAGAAATCTGCTCCATCTCAACACATTGCAGCTTGTTATTAATAAGAGGAGAGCATTGGAGAAGTCAAGGCAGGAGGTGATGAAAGTTTGGATGAGAGTTTCAGTGGTGAGATCCTGTAGCTCAATGGTTAGACACTCGCCTCGCAATTGAGAGACCTGGGTTTGATTCCCGGCAGGACGAAACCTTGGGCAAGTTTCCTTACTCCACACGCCTGATAATAATCCCTCAAGAAAAAAAATAAAATAATAATTTGGTCACTTCAATCCACAGCTGTTTGTGGGACATTGCTGTGCACAATTGGCTGCTGCGTTTCGCCCACAAATATAGTCAATTCACTTTACAGTATATTCTGTGAAGCGCTCTGAGACGTCTCGGAGACGTGGTAATCCATTACAATAGACACAACATCTGATCAATCTGATCTGATCAATATCTTTATGACACAGTTTCATCAAATGAAAATGCCTAATTCAATTACAAGGGACCTGAGTGAGTTTGGCTCAGGTTATAAGTGGAGAGATATAATAAGTGGCTATATATGAGATTGTCTACTTCCACTCAATCTCACACTAAATGCTGCCGAAATTCACCTTTCTTATCTCCCAACTTGACTTTCCAAACACACTCTTTACTGGCCTCCCCAGTCTCACCATCTGTAAGTGCTTCAGCTCATACCAAATTCTGCCGCTCGCATCCTAACCCTCATCCTCACCAAACTCCTTCCATACCAAACTCCATCCTCAGCAAACTCCATCCGCCATCATCCCAGCCCTGACCAGGCTCTCCTGACTCCCCTAATGCACCAACATCAAGGTCCTCACCCTCGTCTATAAATCCCTTTACTCCCCAGCACATCACCCCCACCCCTCCCCAATCTGTGAGATCTTCTGTTATCCGATCTCCACCAGATGCTCACTCCCCCTCAACCCCTCCACTCAGCAAATTAATTCTAGACGGCTGTCGGGCGAGATTATACACATCAAAGAATATCATTGGAAACAAAATAAAACCATTGGATTTGGTGTCTTGGCGAGAAACACACAGGCTTTCAAATCAATTATTAGATTGTAATAGCTGGTAATTAATTAAGAAACCACAGAGGTTGTGAACCTGCCCTGGCTTTATATGACGTGCATCACAAAGAGCAGAAACAATTAACCCATCATCTCACAATCTACAAACTGTGTAGGCAAGCAGAAGGCAGGTAGATTGGCAACAAAAACATACAATCAATTCAAAAGGTTATCACCATTGATCTGAAATGTTAACTCACTTTCCTCTCTCCATAGATGCTGCCTAAACTGTTGAATGTTCCCAGCGACTTTTGTTTTATTCCACTTTACAGTATATTCTGTGATGCACTTTGAGACGTTTCAAAGATGGGATAACACGCAATACCAAATGCAAGTGTTAATATTATTATGAACAATTATTCTCTCTATTTCAGTCTTAAGACCTTAATATCGGTCTGATAATATGTCTGATAATAATCCCTCAAGAAAAAACAACAGTAATTTGGTCACTTCAATCCACGGCTGTTTTTGGGACGCTGCTGTGTGCAATTGGCTGCCGCATTTCACCCACAAATATACAGTCAATTCACTTTATTGTGAAGCGCTTTGAGACATCTCAAAGACGTGATAATCCGTTATATCAAATACAAGGATTATTATTATTATTTATAAAATCTGTCACTTTTACAAACGTTCTTTCCTGAAACTCTGGACTTGACAGAGGCTCCTGATCCCAAAAGCTTCGGATCAGAAACGAGGGCAGGAAAAAACCCAGAATGGCTGCTCCCTCCTTCCAAACAGCCAGGTAATTACTTCTGGCATTTTGACAAGTATTTGCTACAGTGAAGGTCAAAGCTATCAGCGTCCCCAATCTCTGCTAATCAGCTCAGCTGGTGAGGAGCTCAGCTGCCAATGTTTTCATAATTACAAGATCCGCCAGCAACATAGTGTTTTTTCACTATGTAAATCAACCCGTAATGGCAGCTAATTCTGTTTGTCACAGGTTCCTGCCTCGCTGCTTAATAGATGCTGCACTGGCACCGTGTATGTGAGTGAGTGTGCGTGTATCTACGTGAGTGTCTGTGCGTGAGTCTATGTGTGTGTGAGTGTGTGTGTGAGTGAGTGAGTTTGTGTGAGTGTGAGATTAATTTTATCTTGCATTGCCACACTCGCTACTTCCGCTCGGCCGGCTCTGGCCTCCTCAGCCACTACGCCCCGAAACTCTAGCACTCTCTCCCTCAATCCCTCCTCCTTGCTCCCTCTCTCCTCCCTACCTTTAAATCCTACCTAAAGACCTTCCTTTACGTTGGTGCTGAGGGTCGCCTCCCCTCCTCCCTCCCTCCCCCCCCCTTTGGCTCGGGGTCAGACTCCACCACTGTGAAGCTCTCCAGGACACCATCCGCATGAAGGGCGCTGTGTAAATGCAATCTTATTGTTGATGTACTGTGATTACAGTCTTACTGTAAAGAATGACCATCGCAATGTTTGTAACAGACCCATTGGGTAGGAAGCCAGGCTACTAATTCAATGCGCCTGCAGATTAATACATGAACTGAAATGAAAGCACAGAATCCCTGTGTCTGATGAACCTTTGTTGCTCTCCACTGGAGGTAAGAGCAATAAATCTGTGTATCTGTCATCTCCACCTGGTAACCTAATGTGCCAAAATGATTCTCACTTTAACAGATGGTCAGACATTGTTCATTTGAAATATCATCTTCACGTCTGTCCCCTTTTCTCTCACACAGAGGAGACATTTGAACTCAATCCGCGGCTGTTTGTGGGACGCTGCTGTGCGCAATGGGCTGCTGCGTTTCGCCCACAAAATATACAGTCAATTTACTTTACAGTATCCTGTGAAGCGCTTTGAGATGTCTAGAAGACGGGATAAGGTGCTATTTCAAATGCAAGGATTATTATTATTATCATTAACCTCAAGTCCTATACCACCTAAACTTTCTCGTGGCATCTTCGCTTTTCAAAGCCAATATACTACTCATGTGTGAAAAATGGATGTCAGCCCTGATTCAGTTGGTAGCACTCTCGCCTCTGACTCTGGAGGTTGTGGGTCCAAGCTCCGTGTCAGGACTTTGAGCTCATTCTTGACTGACACTCCAATGCAGACCTGGGGGGGGGGGGGTGGCAGAGCATTGTCAGAGGTGTCATCCCTCCCTCAGGTGAGATGTTAACCTGAGGTCCTGCCTGTTCAGGTGGATGTTAAAAGATCCCACGGCACTATAGGAAAAGAGAAGGGAGTTTCTCTCTCTCTCCCGGTTCCTGGTCGACAATCTCCCAAATAAAACTGGTCACTCTCTCCATAGGACATTTACCCCCCAGATAAAATTGTTTATTCACTTCACATCTATTTGTGGGACATCGTGGTGTGCAAGCTGGCGCCTGTGTTTACCTACAAAACACTCAGTTACTGCACTTAAAAATCCTTTGAAGTGCTTTGGTACTCACAACGCCATGATAAGGTGCGACATCAAATGCAATCATTTACTCTGATGATTACTGCTGTTGGTGGGGCAGCCAAGACCTTGTCATTTATACCTCACACACACCCACACACAGACATACACACACCCACACACAGACACACACACATACACACACACACACACAGACATACAAACCCACACACACACGCACACACAGACACGCACACACAGACACAAACACACATGCACACACACAACTTCCACACATACAACGGGCACACACGCACACACATGCACATACAGGCAGACACATGTGCACACAAAGTCAGTGTTTTCTTTCCAATTGACCTCATGCTCAGCTACATGTGTCTGTCTCCTTGTTGTGAGCTGGGCCCTGTTTGCTTTGCCAGGCCAGGCCCACGTCTCTAGTTTGAATCCATCTCCTCTACAAACAATCAAATCTCTGCTCACCTTAATTGACTCTGTGATTTCCCACTTGTGCCCCAGCCCCTCACTGTCTCTTCCATTATAAGCCAGTTTCCCAAGTGGTGTGTTTGGGTTTGGTAACCTCTCTATTCTCTGATATGGACAGAAGGTAAACACGGTTCCTACCTGCTGCATTGGCCACGTCCACAGTTGACAAGTTTTGAGCGTTGATGTACACTTGGAAGGTCACAGCGGGTCCCAGAACACTGGAAGATAATTGAACACCGTGACAGGCTTTAGACGGGTTTGCACACATGCGAGAGAAAGATTAGTCACAGAAACCGAGCAACAACAGCAACTTGCACTTATATAGCAGCCTCCACATAGGGTAATGTCTCAGAGCAGGGAAACGTGGCAACCGATCGGGAGAGCAACACTGCAAAAGATGCTTTACCTTAAACCCACACCAGCCCTGGCCAACAACAACAATTTATAATAATCCTTGGCATTTGATACAGCATTTTATCATCTTGTCAAAACACCTCAAAGAGCTTCACCAGATTTAACCTATAGTCTGGTGGCTGTAAGCGATTAACATTATTTATACACATTATAAGGTCCCCTTTGAGACATTATTTCTCAAAACTGAAGATCCCCAGTTTGTCTAATCATTAAAGATAGATCAGTCCTGGGGTAGCGACTAGAGAAGGAGTAGATTTTGGTGCCATCCATATACATATGGAAGTTGACTCCAAGTCTGTGGATGATGTCATCAAGAGGGAGCAGCCTAGAATGGCACAACAGCAGGTCACGGTGCAGAAGCTGCACACAAACCGTTAGCCGAGACGAAATAATGGCAGTGGGTCAATCGAGTTCACAATATATCCTGTGAAGCACTTTGAGACGTCTCAACGACATGATAAGACGCTGTATCAAATGCAAGGATTATTATTGTTGTTATTATTAGCAGGACTTTAACTAGGTGAGTGACCAACAACAACAATTACCACTGAGCTGGACAAGGGAGGAGAGAAGGTCCACGTTGTCCAAACGCAGAGGTCCATGAAGACAGGGAAGGCAGAGGGAGCCCTGGTCACACAGACAGTGGGTGTACCATCAGCTCAATGACCAAATGCATCTGGAAGATTGTTCACTGAGAAACCCAGAAAATCTCCCTCTTGCAAATAATGTTGCGGGATCTATAACACCTATGTGAACGGGCAGATGAGACCACATTTAATGTCTTCTAGAAGATGGCACCACTGATAGTGTAGCTCTCACCACCTGAGGAATCTGGTCTGCAGACTCTTTAAACCGATGATGGTTGACTGAAAAAACTAATTTGTTCACAACCATAAGAGAAATCACTTTTCAGTGCAGCGTATAAATCCGTGAGTGACTTCTGAACATTCAGGACTCCTAACCCAATGTCACCTAAAGGTCAGGCAGGGCTGGTAATTTCTTCCCAATCTGTTCTTCAAATAATCTCTGTACCTCTTCCCAGCACATCATGCACCCTGCGATCAGCCTGCGATCAGCCTCCGATCAGCCCAAAGGCATAATCCTTAAGTAGAAATGTTATTGTTTTCGTCTGACGTTGCTTTTGGTGTCAGCCTGACTCACAAGTTTGCACTCTCTCTCGCCTCCAAGTCATAAGTTTGTTGGTTCAAGTCTCGTATCAGGGCTGTGAGTGCAGACTCTAGGCTGACATTCCACTGCAGTGATGTGGAAACGCTGCATCGCTGGACATAGCCTCCTTCACATGAGACATCAGCTCATCTGCTTTATTATGTTGTTGAGAACGAAGGGGTGAATTGTAAGGTGCTTACGGTGGAGTGACCTCTTACTCCCATTTCGCCTACAAATATACAGTCAACTCACTTTACAGTCGATTCTGTGAAGCGCTTTGAGACGTCTCGAAGACGTGATAAGTCGCTATATCAAATGCAAGGATTATTATTATTAACGGTTACATTTGAACTGCACTGAATCCAATATTTTCAGTCGTCAATGTGAACTTGTCAGTATGATCATTCCTCACTATTGTAATATGTCACTGAGGCAGGTCCTGTAGCTCAGTGGTTAGAGCATTTGCCTTGCAAGCGAGAGACCTAGGTTCCATTCCGGTAGGTCAGGACGAAAGCTTGGGCAAGTTTCCTTACTCCACACGTCTGATAATAATCCCTCAAGAAAAAAACAATAATAGTGTGGTCACTCAATCCCCAACTGTTTGTGGGGACGCTGCTGTGCGCAATTGGCTGCTGCGTTTCTCCCACAAATATCCAGTCAATTCACTTTACAGTGTATCCTGTGAAGTGCTTTAAGATGTCTCGAAGACGTGATAAGGTGCTGTATCAAATACAAGGATTATTATTATTATAGGTCCCATATAGATCAATGTAAGGTACTACATAGATGTCGGAATTATGAATAAAAAACACATGTACAATGCAAAACAAATTGACATTTGTACAGTGTATTTCACATCAGGAGGACATCCCAAGGTGATAAACAATACTGCTCGAGCTCGAGATAGGACACGAGGAAACAAGTGTCATCAAACAGTAGGTCTGAGATGGACCTTTCACTCGTTTGGTTGGGTAGAAGTTGAGTCATATGGAGCAATATGGCACAGAAATAGGCGTTTCATCCCAACCTATCTATTCTGATGTCCGCTCTGATGATTCCTCCACAATGCTTCTATTCCCCTCTTCTACACCCACTTCCCTGATGAGCCAAAGAGGCAGCAGAAAGAGACATGATTTGGTGAGTTATATCAACAGTTCATAGAGGGAACATTGGACACTAAAGGACACTAAAGGCTGAACACTCCATCCCCTCGATGTCCCCCCAGACGATAAGAGAAATAGGGTGGACTGTTCTGTTATAACTCACAGATTTCATTCCACAGCCAATAAACAGAGCAAAAGGTCTGCATTCTTCTGTTTCACTCCCAAACTAAAAGCATTCAGTAGAGAGTGAAAAACAGAGAAAGGTTCTGATTTATCCTTAGGTTCTCAGACTGAAGGTTAGCAAGTTACCAGCAGATTACAAAGGAGGTTATGCGGTTTAGGAACAAATGATTAATGCGATTCAAACACTTCTCATCTGCACAATGAGTCAGGCTTCCAACACTCTGCAAAAGTAAATGGTTCAAATGTAATTGGTCTGAAGGGTCTTTTACAGGTGAAGCCAGGTGTCAGCCTGGACCAGCTCACTTGGAGCTCAGCTGAAGGTTCAGCTTCCATATTTATACTGACAATAATCCTTGCATTTGATACAGCATTTATATTGTCTAAGCGCCTCCAAGCTCTTCATGGTAAGAGATATCAAGGCACTATGTATTTGTGGGCAAACACAGAGTAAGTTCCAACAAACAGACATGAAGTGAATGACCAACTTAACTGGGGGGAATGTTGGCCAGGACACCAGGAGAATAATAATAATACTTACGTTTGATATAACGCCTTGTCGGGTCGTTCAGATGTCTCAAATTGCTTCACAGAATATACTGTAAAATGGATTGACTATACTTTGGGGGTGAAACGCGGAAGCCAACTGCACACTGCAGGGTCCCCACAAACTGTCGTGGATTTCGGCAAAACTGGTAGCTATTTGCTGAAGCAAATTCCCATCTCTTATAAGGAGGAAAGGAGAACTCCCTTCTCTGTCTGGATAGTGCCCTGGGATCTTTAACATCGTCTTGAACAGGCAGGTGGGAATTTTGTTTCAACATATCATCATCCAAAGGCCAGCATCCCCGACAATGCAATGCGTCTCCCCAGTACTGCCTGGAGCGCTTAAAAGTGGCAGAGCCTGATACTGAGCCAGGGGGTGGGAGGAGGTGACAGTAAGCATGGTCGAAGAGGAAGGTCTTCAGTCATGATCTCAAAGAAGGGGAGCAGTCAAAGCGGAGGGATTGAGGAAGAGAGTTCCAAAGCTTCAGAGCATAGTGGTTGAAGGCACAGCCAGTGATGGTGGAGCGGAGGGGACAAGGGACAAACAGGAGGCCATAGCCAGCCGAGGGAGGCAGTGGGAAGTGGAATGTGGAGAGAGCAGGTCAGAGAGGTAGGGAGATACCAGGGCATGAAGGGACTTTTTAGAAGATTGTGTGTTAATGTTCGAAAAGCCTGGGTGAAATGCAGCAAAGACAGAATAACAGCAGCTACATGTGTACACTGAGCTGGAGGAGCTGGGGATGGTTTTCAGTGAAGCGATACCCTCTAGTGGAACACACACCAGTTCAGTAGCTTGATTTTAGTTTATTTGCTTCCATCTGCAACTCCATCCCACAGTTTCTCGGTTTCGCTCCTTTTCTCATCTCATTCAAGGTTTGTCTCAATCCTTCCCCTTTGAGCATCCCCCAACCACCGCCCCCCCCCACACACACAGACGCAAACCTTGGTTCCCAGCTCAGGTGCCAAACCAGGACTGTCAACAATAACAAAAACAACAAATGACAGTTACACGGCATCTTTCATGTCAGGAGGACACCCCAGGGTGCTGGACAGTCAAGGATCCACAGCCGAGCTGGTGGTTGGGATCAGGAGAGGTGGAGGGAGGGTGGGGGTAGGAGGGTGGCCGAATGCGTGGTGGAAGAGAAGGGTCTTGAGATGTGGCTTGAAGGATGCAAGGAGGGGGTGAGGTGAAGGGACTGTGGGATGAAGGCCCGACCGCCGATGGTACGATGGGCCTGGCAGGGGATGTGGAGCAGGTCAGAGCCCGCTGAGCAGAGGGAGCAGGGCAGGTTGATATGGAGTTAGCAGGTCACAGAGATAGGGAGGAGCAGAGCCGTGGAAAGCGAGGATGAGGATTCTCTGGGGGATGGGGAGCCAGACGAGGATGGGGAGGGAGGTATCTTGGGACAGCCTCCTGATGTGAAAGGACTATTTAAATGTAAATTTGTATTGTATTAGTCACAGCTCCGATCACACTCCTGCTCTTCATTATAAACCAGCAAGCAAACATTCTTCAGAAGGAAAACGGGCAAAGAGCAGGCAGAGAGGGAGGTAAAGGGAACGAGAAAAAAAAGAGTGACGGAGATAGACAAAGAGAACGAGAGAAACGGGCAGGGAAAGGCAGATACAGAGATTGAGACAGAAGAATAATAGAGAGAAAAAGAGAAAGAGACGGAGTCAGAGAGAAACAAAACTAAACAGCTAAAGACTGAGTCAGAAACAAAACTTTCACCTCAGAAGGCTGTTTCAAAGTACTGTTGTGACTGTATATTTTATAGGTGAAAGTGGCAGCCCATTTGCACACAATT